TGTTGGCTGCAGTCTGGAAGTGCAGGAATTTGTCCATAAGGCTCCTAATGAAGATTTCCCAATTTAAGAAAACCTCTGGGTTTGTTGTACAGAAAATACTTTCGTCTGATGATGAGCATACTTGTCAAAACCATTGTTTAATAGTTCGAAGTGTGGGACAACTGAGGAACGCTATTTAAAGTTGATAGGATGAAGAAGAATGGCTATCAGATAAAGTGTTTGAACTGTTTTTTTTCCCTCAAAAGCTGGAAACATTCAGCTGCCTTTCTTTTACAAAAGGAATACAGAACTGGAGTCCAGCTTGCCTTTTTTTCTGTTTGACTTCATTTGAGATTATTGCCTGAGATTTAGTGCTGGTAATGTGAAGAATTCCCCAGCCAGTTCCTATTTATTTCCTTTTAAACTTAGTAAAATGTGTTAATAAGATATGGTTAGGTGTCGGGTTCCTTGTTTCTTTTTCAAACCAACTTTTCTTGTCATATAAAAAGTATTTACTAAAGTTGTATAAAGTAAATACACACATTATTTCTTACAAAATCTCTAGATTTAATCTGATTAGGTTACAAATGCTAAAGAAAAGAAAGCCATGTTCTTTTGAATCTGTCTAGATTTGGTATAGTCCAGGCTGTCTTGTATAAAAATAAACCAAAAAAGGACGTTTTCCTTGCAAAACTGTGCCTGGAGTATTCTAAAATGTTTTGCCTCCCTTTATGCTGGGCTGTCAGTGTAACCACTGAGTATTGGAGCTGGAAGAATGTTGTATCTTTGAGTAGCTTTATGTTAATACTTTTCTATTTTTACCTTTATGGGAAGTGACTGTATCATAATCTTAAGTTATGTGTTTTTACTGATGTAATCATTAAGATAACTGACGCCGTTTCCTCTTTTTAGATTAGTGAAGAACTTGTTCCAGCTGGCCAGAGAAAACAAACCTTCTATCATCTTCATTGATGAGATAGATTCCCTCTGTGGCTCAAGAAGTGAAAATGAAAGTGAGGCTGCTAGACGGATAAAAACAGAATTTCTAGTCCAGATGCAAGGTAAGTTTATTTAGTTTTCAGAATCAGTCTTACATCTTTAGTTTTCAGAATCGGGAATTAAGATACATATTTTAAGCGTAGCTTGCATGAGAACACTAAAATGATCTGCAGTTCCACCCTAATAAATTTTGACAACGTTTTTAAAGTCTCTGTTTATCACCTAAGCAGTAAAATTATTTCTGCCCTGATATAGGGGTTGGTGTTGACAATGAAGGAATCTTGGTCTTAGGAGCGACAAACATCCCCTGGGTTTTGGATTCTGCTATCAGGAGAAGGTATGATGGCTTTTTTTTCATGGTATGAAATTCGCAGCTGTTGTCAGGGTTCGGTCTGAGACTACTTGAGGTGGTAACCCAGCTCGTGTTTGCAGACATGGGTGATGTTCTGCAACTCAATTCTGTGCGACGGACTGAGCCAAACTAATAGCCCTTTGTCCCTTTCAGGAGGTAGGTTGTTCACTCGTATATTGGCCCTGTAGTTTCTTTGATCTCCTGGTTTGTGCTTGAGCAAGCAGAAGACTATTCTGTTTCCTTGCTGGATGGTTTTCTGGTGGGCTTGGGGGACAAGTTAGAAAACACACACCTCAGAAGGGCAAGAGCGGGTATAGCTTACTTTTTCAGCTCTTAACAAACTGTTGGGTAGCTTGAGTTCTTCCATGGAAATACAGCCTTGTGCTACACGAAACACTATGTTTCTCTACTGGTCAGGCATAATTTGTGATCTTTCAGTGCATGTTTTAATTGCTGTTTTGTAGATAAAGGGCTTCCATACCTGTACCCGATTAGCTGGATCTTTCTTTGAGCTGCAGAGCAGCAGAGGACAAATACAGCTGTGTGACACATATGGTTATGTTGCAATGAGGACACAGCTTGGATAATGGTTGTTTTTGTAGGCTAAAGAAACATTACTTTTTTGTGACTGTGACGGTCACTGACTTTTATTTATATACTTAATTCAAGCTGGCCATACTTTGGAGGTTGGACCTGGTGACCTCCAGAGGTCACTTCTAACCTGTATGACTATAGTTTTGTTGAGACAGATTTAGAGGTGAACATGTTGCTTGAAATCTCAAGTCATTCTTGAAACTCCAGCTCTGGGGTCCACAGTACAAGACAGATATGGACCTGATAGAGTGGGCCAGAAGGGGCCCATGAAAATGGATCCAAGGACTGGAACACCTCTCCTGTGAAGAAAGGCTGAGAGAGTTGAGGTTGTTCAGCCTGAAGAAAAGAAGGCTCTGGGGAAACCTTCTGGCAGCCTCCCAGTATATAAAGGGGGCTTAATAAGAAAGATGGAGAGATGTTTGAGGACTTTTTTACAGAGGCCTGTAGTGACAGGGCAAGGGGCAACAGTTTTAAACTGAGAGAGGGTAAGTTTAGATTGGACATAAGGAAGAATTTTTTTGCAATGTGGGCAGTGAGGTGCTGGAACAGGTTGCCCAGAGAAGTTAGGGATGTTCCATCGTTGGAAATGTTCATGGTCAGGTTGGACGGAGCTTTGTGCAACCTGATCTAGTGGAAGATGCCTCTGCCCACAGAAGAGGGGTTGGACTAGATAACCTCTAAAGGTCCC